TGGGTGCAGGATATGAATAAATTGGTGATGCACGTATAATCTTCTCACAACGAGCCTGGGCAGAAGGAAAATTACTTCATGATTATGGCGTCCAAGCGAAGGAGACTCCAGATTACACCTGTGAGCAGAGCTGCCCCCTGAACATGCTGCCCCCTGCTTGGGTACAGCCCCATTTTCCAAGCTAATTTGAATCTCTTTACCGGGAGGCTTTTTTGATGGTATAAAACAGCGGACAAGGCGACACAACATCACCTTGTAGAAGCGAAAGCTGCTGCCTAATACGCCTCCGCTACTCGTGACGTCCTTCCGGTCTGCTCGCCCTCATTCCTGTGACGTCTCTCCTTCCTTCCCTGCTGCTGTACAACTGTTCATCCTGCCATCAGAAGCAGCACCAGCCCCTGTGTGCCATCACCTGCCTGCCCCCCCCCGCACAGAGACTCAAATCTCAAAATTTGGACGGTATAAGCTAGGTTTTTGCTACGTTGTTCATTTGACTTCCGCTGCCGGCCCCTGGAGGCCGGGCTCCCCCTTTAAGTCTGGTTCCTCCCAAAGTTTCTTGCTCACTAGGGGATTTTGGCTAGGACAATGTAAAGCGCTTTGAGACAATGTAATATTGTGAAAAGACATCATATAAATAAAATTGAACTGAACTGAAAAAGTCTGAGATGTTTACAGTGAATCCTGTGCAGGATCAGGATGTCCCTGTTTTAACACAATGCAGGACAGGGACACACAGACACAAACACACACAGACCTGTACTCATATCTTTGTGGGGACCGTCCATTCATTTCTATGGGCAAAACTCTATTCCTAACAATGACAACCTTAACCCTACCCAGTCCTAACCTTAAACATAAGTGACCAAACAAAATACAAGTCTTTTGGTATTTTTAGTTTTTTGATTGCAGTCACAGATTTTTATAAAATTGAAGAAAAAAAATGTAAACCACTGTGTCCCCACAGTGTCAAAATAGCAGGTTTTTATCATATTGTTGGATAATGTATACCTGGACCACACACACACACACACACACACACTGCTGGTGTGTTCAGGTTTAACATTACATCCTTGTATGAACACAAAGTATCCATGTGATCCCTAATACCGACAGTCTATGACAATGTTTAAACACTATGGTCTCCATCGTGCTTGTCTGTACATTTCCACAATGAGTCATGCGTCAGCATTAATCAATCTACGCACTGGGTGCATCCAGAACTAATTTAGCAAAAATACAAGAGTGTAGAAGGTCTTCATAAACATCATATGGGAACAGATACTCCAACAGTAGAATTATTTTGAAGCAACAAAAAAAAATGTTAACGGGTCCAGATGTTAAAAATTAAAAGACCATGAAAAACATAATTGGAGTCATAAATCTGTAGCTGAGTCCGTTCAGTAGGAGACAGCACTAAACATGCACTTACGGGCATCCATATCCAGTCACGCTGATACAAAATGCACAGCAAATATCAGCCATCTTCAAAAACAGGATTATTTACAACAGTGTGTGAAGTGTTGGCTTTTTAAAGGTAACCCCCCCCTCCCCCCCCCCAGTAGAGAACTATTGGATATTCAATGCACGTGCTCACTCGCATCGGTAAGATTCAGCGGGAGAAAAACAGATATCCCCAGATGACACCATATGTGCAGAACACCAGCGAATGTTCACACAAAGATGTAAAACGGATGAAAAAAGCCCTCATTTCAAATGGCCAACCAGAATTCCTCTCTTCCCTCTTGAAGGGGGGGGGGGGGGGCATTTTTTTTTTGCCTGAGGGCCAGGTGGCTCTCAGTGCCCGTTCGGCACGGGGGCTGTGACGGCTAAGCTGCAAGGCCACCGGAAGCCACTTCCTGGCAGCATGGCCTGAAAAGGCCAAGACTACCCCAGGGGAACCAGAGTAGGCGGATAGCCGGCCCTGCCACGGATAGCCTGCCCTGCCACGATAGCCTGCCCTGCCGCGGTTAGCCTGCCGCGGATAGCCTGCCGCGGATAGCCGGCCCTGCTACGGATAGCCTGCCCTGCCGCGATAGCCTGCCCTGCCACGATAGCCAGCCCTGCCACGATAGCCTGCCCTGCCACGATAGCCGGCCCTGCCGCGGATAGCCTGCCCTGCCACGATAGCCAGCCCTGCCGCGGATAGCCGGCGACACTGCAGCTTTGACGCCAAGCGTAGAGAACAGAGAATAGCTGCACGGGACACAGAGCCGGAAATTATATGGCAAACCTCCACTCACTTCTCTGGCTATTCACTGCTTAATTTGAACACTAATTATAATATCACCTAGAATATCTGACAGTGACCTTTATTACTCTTTACTGTCCTGTCCTCCTATTCCTGCATTTATCTTCCTTTTTTTATTGTTTCAGAAGTCGACAGTCAATTGTCAGATTTCCGTTTTATTTATTATTCTCCGTTATCATTCACCAAAAGGTGACCATGGATTTCACAATTTTGATCTGTTTATTTATTCATCCATCTATAGCACATATCCAGTGTAGGTTCATGCTATACATTTTACTTATACTCAAACAACCGTCTGTGCTTATTATTTTAATAATCATAATCAGCTTCAAAGAACAGCTCAGTTTTTCACCTAATTTGCAAATTCTGATAATAATCTGGCATATACCTTAATTTTTATATAAACGTTTTAGTTACTAAGTTTTAAACTTAGTAACTAAAACACAATTAATAAATAATGTTAACATTTTTCAAGTGTTTTTTCCTGTAATGACTTAGGACTTGTGTGCCTTTGTATAGTGACAATTAATTGGAACACATTAAAAACGCACACACACACACACACACATACACACACACAATGAACACAATAAAAAGATGCTTAAATAGGTTATTTCACGTACAGATTAACAAGCTGTACGTATTTTTCTATAAAGGTGTTCACTGAATGTTTTTATCTGTACTACCGTGTTTTCTTGTACAATATCTCTTTTACAACAGAAATACATATATACACACTAACATACATACACACACATACGTGTGTGTGTGTATGTATATATATGTACTTGTTGTACTTGTACAATGATAAAGATTCTGATTCTGAGATATATATGTATAGATCAGAATATATGAGAGAGAGAGAGAGAGAGAGAGAGAGAGAGAGAGAGTATGGAGCCCGGGGAGAGGGGTAGGACGTATCAAACTCCGACGCCATTGTGTGTATATTCATATAATCGTATAATTCAATAATACAATATGTCCTACAGTGATTACGTGTTGCTTATAAAAGT